TTGTCCTCCCAGAAGTCCCTTCTCACTGGCTTGCCCACCACAACCATCTAGGTGGGCTCCCAGAATGACCATCTCACTGGTTTGGCCACCACAACCATCTAGGTGGGCTCCTAGAATGACCATCTAACTGGCTTGGCCACCACAACCAGCCAGCTGTCTTCTCCTGAGCCTGGCCAAGAGGTTCTCAAACCCAGTGTCTCCTATCTCTTGAGGTTCTGCAGGGTCATGTAGATATCTCCCCAAGAACCATGTGATCCCTCTCTCCAGGAGAGGCTGGGCCATGGCCACCATGGCAGGACCCGTGGTCCTCACTCTTCCTCCTTTGGCCACCTGAGGCGATCAGGTGGTGGCCATGTGGGAAGGCTGGCCAGGAAGGACCTGAACTTCCCCCAGATTTGGAGTCTGAAGAGAGGTCTCCTCCTCTCCCCATTCCCACCGGCTCTCTGGACTGGGACCTGGCCTGGAGCAGAACAGGTTGGGTGGAGGGGACAAACCAGTTTAAGGAACCTGTGACACTGGTGTGACTGGCTTGGGCAGGAGCACCCATGTGCTGAACCCATGGGAGGACCACGGAGGCCACTGTCCCCACTCCATGGAGGCTCAAGTCATCTCCTCCAGGTAGAGATGTGGACCTTCCTCCATGGTTTTGGTGGCCTGAGCTTCTCCTGACGGCCGGGGGAGGATCTGTCAGAAAAACGGGGAAGAAAACCCCAATTTGAGGGTTTGGTTGGACGCGGTGAGGACCTGGAGAGCGGCCAGAACATCTGGGTCCTCACCTTGGACCTGGTTCTTCTTGGGTTGGACCAAGGAGAACTTCGCTTTACTTTGGTTGACTCTCCAGATGATCTCTTGGGTGACTTTGGACTCCGAGCCTCAGTTTCCCCATTTGCTTAAAGATATTAAGGAGAGGAGAAGAAGCCTTTTGTCACCTCCCATCCTCCACCACGTGGACCTTCCCTGACCACCTCCACCAGAGAACCTCACCCTGGTCTTTTCTCCACCCCCCGCTTTGCCCAGGCCCATCCCCATCCGCATGGGTGACCACAGCTTGAAGACCAAGGAAGGGACGGAGCAGTGCATCAACTCGGCCAAGGCCTTCATCCACCCCAACTACAACCCCACCACCCATGACAGTGACATCATGCTGCTGAAGCTCCAGAAACCGGCCCGTTTCACCGACCGCATCCACCCCGTGGACCTCCCCAAACGTTGTCCTCCACCCAACACCGAGTGCATCGTGTCCGGTTGGGGCAGCACCAGCAGCCCTGAAGGTAGGTGGAAAGATCTCCTTGCACCACGTGGTGGTGGTGGTGGGGTCTGAAGGGACCTGGGGACATCTCAGCGTCTTGAGGGCATCTCAGTGGCTTGG